GGGGGTAGGCCAGTAGTTACGTTGTAATCAGAGTCTTCTTTCAGAAAGACCATTAATGAAAAGACAGAATGTATAGTTGACCAGAAATTAAATGGAAATTAGCAAACTTGGTTAACTTAGCCACTATTTAACTTAGGTTTTGCCACCAAATAGTGCTATAAAGTTAAATCACCTTTAAACTCTTGGCTGAAAGGTGCTGTGTAATGTAAATACAAAGGATTCTTACTAAAATATAGATATTACACAACAGACATATTTAAAACCTATTCTCTAGACTTTGAAAGATCTCTCTCCATCATGACTCCCTAGATTCAAGTATCAAATTGATCATGGGCATCATGGCAGTCTAGAGACACTTGCATGTAAAAAATGTAAATTCATTTTTAGGTGGATAAATGGAAAATAAATATAGAAATTATGGTTTAGCTAAAATACAGTAAGTGGGTAATTTAGGTTTATATTAACTAGCTTCTAATTTGCACAACTAGGACACATCCCAGGACACTTACTGAAAATTGAAATTAATGAGTAGGAGGTGGCCCAATGAGGGTGAATGATATCACAGCTTGACCTCTCCAGGATACTGATGTCCTAAAATAGAGAACTGCTCACTTAAGCAGCACATTATTCCTTCAAGTAGAAAATGCTAAGGGCAGCCTATAAAGTACTGAATCTGAGTAGGCTGACCTCAAGAAAGCCCAGTTAAAACAACAACCAAGGGAACACTTGAGATTGCAAAAGTAGGAATAGTCTCAATTATATTCATCCCCCTTTTCATAACGATTCAAAAAAGGACTAGATAATAACCACATGAATATTTTACTTTCTCCAAAAGGTATCATTGGAAGCAAACTTAGTAGGAAGTCACTCTTTTTCTTTAAACAAAATAGTATGGCCAACTAGAAACTAACTGGGGCCTTTTTACTGGTGCCTGACATGCTTTTAATTATCTGGTTTTATTCTAAATCTACACCTAACCCCCCACCTGACCCCACCCCCAAAAAACACTGAAGAATTTAATATACAGGGTAAGAGTTTCGGCCTAGAACTCCAATAAAGTGCTTCAGATCTGGCCATGTGGAAATTTTGGTCCAAGTTTTTGAACTGGTGGTTACCAAAGAGTTCATGAAACAGGTTTGTTGTAGCACCTTTCATGCAAGGCATGGTAAGAGCCTACTTAAAAATCACTGTGCATATTACAGAATTGCAGCCACCTCACAAATGAAATACTACAGCCTGCACTGTCTTAACAGTTTATGTCAGTAAGTGAAAAAGATAATTATACCAAATCTGGATTACAATGCGGAATAATGTATGCTAAATGACTTGTATTTTAAGTTACTTAGGAGAAAAGTGATTTTTTTTTTTTTTTGCTATACTTAGTCCTGAGATGTATTTTTTTTTAAGTCTTGAATGAATAATACAAAAGGAGCCCATTTTATAATATCAAACTTGATGTACATGTTGAAATATTTGGACAATGAAAATGCCTTAAAAGGAATGCTTATAGATAAAGTTGCACTTATAACACCCTTTAACAAAACCTGATTATAAATTGTCTTTTTCTTTTCTACTAAGGTTTCTCTTTTGATGTTTGCCATTGTACTTATAAATGTTATTAAATACCAAATCAAATAATATAAAAGCTGTAACATTTCCTTTCAGAGTAATGCTACTGAGGGATTTGAAGTTGAATAGCAAAATGTTTGGCAGTACCTAATAGCCACAGAAATCCAGTTTCTAATGACACCATTGTTTATCTTTTTAAAAGCATCACTTTTTTATTTTAGTTTTTAACTTTATTTTTTAAAATTAGGTTGGCTTAACATTTGCTTATCAAACTGATATAAAAAAATAAAGCAAAGGTGATTTTTATAACAAGTGGTTAGTAATCATTTAAAATTTGTAAAATATGAGTTAGCCAAGTATTCTTTCCTTTCCCTTAGCCCTGGAAAACCAATTTTCACATAACCCATAACCTTATTTAGATTATTGTGTCCTAATCATTTTGGGATGGGTTTTAGAGGTTTTGGGAGAAAGAGAAAAGAGTATCAGTTGTCAATTCCAAAGTAGGTTTAAATAATTAGTAGATTGTTCAGCCCTGGCTGGATTGCTCAGTTGGTTGGTTGCAGGTTCTCTTCTATCCCTGGACAGGGCACATACAAGAACCAACCAATGAATGCATAAATAAGTGGAACAACAAATCGATGTTTCTCTCTCTAAGAAAAAAAAATCAATAAACAATAGATTGTACAAATCAGTATCTCATTTTCACTCATAGCCATTGGAGGCAGAATGTTAGAGATGGCAACCAGCCTTGTATCCTTAAGCAAGGACATTCTTTGCGGACCTGTTTCTATCAGAGGTGGGGAAGGGCAGTTAGACCACTTATCTAAGGTCTTTGGGTCTATTCATTAAATCTTCATTTTATATGCAAAGCAACCTAAAACTTACTGTATCTTAGAGATACAGTACAGAGTAGGTAAAAACTAACATGCAAATCAGGATAAAGTTTTCATTTATGAAAAGCGTTTCTTATTAACTCCGCATCTCTCAAATCTGTTGTATATTTTATAAAAACTGTCATAGACTTGTAGCTTCTAATCATCTATCTACACTAATAAAAGACAAACATGCAAATTGACCGAACCTTTGCTACACCTTAAGCCATGACAACCAGCCAATAAGAGCAACTATATGCAAATTAACCCAACCAAGATGGCAGCCGGCAGCCACGGAGCTGGAGCAAGCAGGAGGCTTGGTTGCCCCAATGATGGAGGAAGCCAAGCTTGCCGCGGCCCGGCTCTGAGCTCCACTCAAAGCAACAAAGTTTCAATTATAGAAGCTAAATAAACCCGATACCTGCTTTCAGCAGGCCATGGCCATGGAGCTGGATCGAGCAGGAGGCTTGGGTTGCCCCTGGCAGTGGAGGAAGCCAAGCTTCCCTCCCGCCCGCCCTGGCCGGCTCTGAGC